ACAGAGTCCTGACCTGAACCCGATAGAACACCTTTGGGATGAATTAGAGCGGAGACTGAGAGCCAGGCCTTCTCCACCAACATCAGTGTGTGACCTCACCAATGCGCTTTTGGAAGAATGGTCAAAAATTCCTATAAACACTCTCCTCAACCTTGTGGACAGTCTTCCCAGAAGAGTTGAAGCTGTAATAGCTGCAAAAGGTGGACCGACATCACATTGAACTCTGGGTTAGGAATGGGATGGCACTTCAGTTCATAGTATGAGTCAAGGCAGGTGAGCGAATACTTTTGGTAATATAGTGTATGTCCATCACTTGATATGGTCACATATGATTATTATAATAAATAATTTCACATAGTGTTAAATGACTAAATGAGACATGTATATCTGTCTTTCCTGTCTGCAGTATGTGGTTTGTAGACCTGGCAGGAAGTGAAAGGGCATCAGACACCAAATAACAAGACAGACGCAGTCGCATGGAAGGAGCTGAGACAAACCAAAGTCTCTTAGCAATAAGCCAGATATGTTAACATACACAAAGCGCTGAAATACAGAAACAAGGATCATTGTATTTACTTTTTATTCATTTGAAGCTCAAAGAATGTATCCAGTCCCTGGATCAAGAGCAATCACACACACCTTTCAGACAAAGCAAACTCACCCAGGTAACAACACAAATGACTGGTTTCAGATAGGAGCTCAAATTTAAACAAATTCCCAATTGTTTTCATGCTGCTTTATTGTTCTTATTCTAGGTTTTAAAAGACTAATTTGTTGGTGATTCAATGACGTATGATTGCCAACATTTCTCCTGGCTATTTCACAACAGAGCATGCACTTAACACACTGAGATATGTTGACCATCAAATATAATTACCTCAAACAGAATCTGTTAAAAAGAGAGGGACTCATCAAAACACTAGAAACAAAGGAAGTGAAAATGACATGTGCTGTGCAATAGAAAAGCGAGCGAGAAGGAATTTACATGTGTTTGGTGAAAGGAACAAAGAACGGCAGCGACATCTGAGATGGTACTACCAGCAACTGCAGCAGTTTACACCCAAATCTGTGTCATCCTCTGTAAATGTAATGTCACCCTCTTCCTGTCCATCCTTTTCTTCCTCTTATCCAGCCACCATTTGTTCGTCTCCTCCTCCATCTGTTACTTCTGTACAGCAACAGGATTCCCCACTCTCTGTTTCGGATCTGGTGAATGTGGGTTTGGAAAATATTTTGGATGTTTACAGAGATGAGGCCGACAGCCCTAGTGGACAACTGTCTTTTTCAGCTAGTGGGATAAATTTGAAAGCTGACTAATCTTTAAGTTGGACTAGAAATGACAGCCATTGTGAAGGAAGGGAGCCACAGAATATAAATGAAAGGGAGACACAGAGGCCATCTGAGGAAACAGCTGAGAGGGATGAGAGACAGAATCGATGGGCCTTGGTAGAGACAGCAGGGACTGAGCAATCACACAGAGTCACAGGTGCAACGCCTGCTAATGTAGCCACGCAAGAGTTGTACAGTTTTCATTCTGGAAACAGAAGAGAGGAGGGCAGAGGAGGATTGATTCTCACAGATGACACAGCAGAGGGTGGAGAAAGACATCCTCCTCTTGAGTCCCCCTGTCAGTGAGCTCCTGCAGAGCGACCACTGTCACCAGGCTGTGAACTGTCCAACGCACTTCTGAGTCAAAACACACACAACCAGGTCTCTGTTAAATCAAAAGAAAGCAGGCAAATTTCCAACATTCTGTCTTCTCCTCTGCAAAATATTTAAAATGCTGGGCCAACCAAACTATTTCTCTCCACTGCATCTGAAACACTACTCTATAGTCCATCTCCTGCTCAGGTACACAACAGTCCAAGGGTCAAAGCCAGTTTATCTGTTTCACCTCAGGTTGAGACCAACTCAGATTCTGTCAGCTACAACATGGACCCTCTCAGCATCTTTTTGTTTCAGGTTGATCTGCAAGTTGGCACAGACTCATTCCTTCAGGAGGAACAGAAAAATCAGTACCTCTGGGATGAAGATGTCACAAAAGAAGTGAATGTAGAGACAACAGAGAGATTCACTGAAGACAACAATGAAGAAATGACTCCATCCTTAAAGCTACCAAAAGCAAAGACCTTTTGCCTTTTGGCATTTGAACCAACATGTGATATAAATGACTCATATGGTGGAAAAGATGTGAGTTGTGTCAAACAAGACCACCTGAGTAAGTTATAGTTTTCGAAAATTCTGTTATAATGCTAATTGTTCCTAAATGTAATTGCTAACAGTTTTTCATTCCTAGGTTGGACAAAGCCTGAAGTTAAGAACTGTCAAAGACTCCGAGCTATATCAGTTGTGGAACCAAAGTTTCCTTCCTCCTCGCTTAGATGTTCTACATGTGCTTCCACAACAACCCTTTCGTATTCAGCCCAAGATTTAGGAGAAACTGATTCGTCCAGCATAAACAATCTAATCTGTAATAATGCCACAGAAACACCAACAGAATGTACACTTCACATGCACAACAAAGCTGATCTGTCTGTCACTGGGCCACAACTGGAAAGTGTGGACCAGAACTGCACACTAGACTCAAACCTTTTTTTTTTACCTCCATGTGCTATTTATACACATAAGAAATGCTTCAAAGTCAGTGGCTATAATTAAAAGATTTGGGGGCTTTACTGGTATATGGGGGTTGGGTGTCCTGAACAATTAATATCACTTATATGCACACAGTTCATTACAGATTCATGTGCATCACAGTTTGTTCTTTAAAAAATGTATACGTTTGAGACAACTTGATGACAATGATTTTTGCAAAAATATTATGTTCAAAGTTCTCTCTTTTCTTTTGTGTTTTTGTTTTGGTATTGGACAAGTTGCTCTGGATTTAACTGTTTACATGTAAGATGCAAAATGTCTGCCTTAGTATGGATTTGTAATTTGTATTTTCAGTTGTCTCAGTTTTCTAACAGTAGACATGTTAAATACATTTGGGTAATATTTAGGTGTTTTGTATATTGTGAAATATTATTCAAGTGGAACAGTACTTCATCCATGTTTACCGATCCCTAAAAGTCAGTAGCCACAGGACTTTAACTATAAGATCTCATTGAAAACATTTATATAAAGATATACCATAAAACACAAAATGCATTTTGGTTCCCTGCTGTATGACTATTTATAAATTCAATGATTAAGCATGACAGGTTACAAAGTGAAAACCTAATGTGAAATGAAATGAATAAAATTTAGTTTCAACATATTTTCAACAATTTCCACATACATGGTCTCTTATTAATCGCTAGTAAAATTACCTGTATAGCATGTCTGTCAATGTAACTTCTGAATAAAATAACTTATTCGGGCATTTGTGAAATATATTCTTCCAAGAATATAAAGCATATTACTTTACTACTTATATTAGATTTTAAGACGGCACAGCTAACCGCGATCCCAGTGTCACATGCACCCGCACGTTTGTTTAGGATTGAACGTCAAACCACGTGACCAACAGGTGGGTTTTGGTTGGTGCTGTCATCTGCTCAACGTTGAACAACGGCGCGGTGGGGTCACGTGACAGCATCTGCTGCTGCTGGCTGAGCGAAGCGTGTTAGCAGGTAAGGAAACGAAAGCAAAAATGTGGTTCTGTTAATGTTAAAAGCCGCTTGGACATTAAAGACACATCATTGTAAATGTAAAAAACTAGCTTAAAGAAAACAATATCGTCTCAGCGAAGAGTTTTGTCCTGTTTGGTGCTAAGCTAACGAATTACCCCGCTGGCTAACTTGTGTAGTATCCGGCTCTGGCAATGTATGCGGACGAATGCGTTCACTTACCGGTGTCAGCCTGCACATGTCATAGTGTGGACCGTATAACAGAGCAATCCAAATGCCTTTTATCATCACAATTATATAAATGTATTGAATAGTAAGGCCCAAATGTTTCGAACCAAATATGCGTGTGCTTTTCTCTACCAATGTAGCTGTGTTAGCATCCATCGCTAACTACGTTTACACAAAAGGTACATGTTGTCGCTCGCAATACTTGTGTGTAACTCTTAGATTTTTCTATTGAGTTCTGCGGACGGCGATAACATCGACGGTCAATTTCACGATGTAAGGGTCATTGTCGCCATATTTGTCAAAATATGCTGAGAAATGTGAAGGGTGGTAATCACAAACCGAACAAAGAGGAGCGATTAGCTTTGCTAAGGTTAGTAGCTAGCAAGAGCTTTGGCCAAAGCGGGTCATGTTACCGTCGCTCTCCAAAATAAGATTACGATTATCTCTTCAAAAATAAAATGCACATTTTAAGAATCTAGCGAGAGTTGGATGCCCATGTGAAATGCGATGTATTTTGTTGGATGTTTCTTTGGTACCGAATAAAATGGTAAAATGTTTATAGAGCAAATACATTTAAGCGAGTTTGGTAATGTTTATTTTATACTGTTTTTATGCATTATTGACACATTTTAATTCAAGTATGATTGAGTATGGGTGGAAGGAATGATTAAATGCATTCAAGGTTTTCCATAATTGAAACGACCAAAACGCCAAAACACACCCATGGTTATTAGGTTTCCTGTTTGTCCAGTCTGAATTTGAAAGTAATTTGTTCTGCTCAAAGTGAGTTGAACTCATTTATTGTTTTCTATACTTAATCTGTTGTATAACATAATAAACATCAGTTAGTTTATGTAATTTAAGTATCTTTATGTCGTAATTTATGTCTCAGTTGAACTTTCCCTCATCGTCGTTTTGGTTGGAACACAAACCCCGCCTCCTTTGTGTTAATGTCTCATTTTAAATTAAATGCTAGCATGCTGATTCTCTCGCCTTCTGTCACTTAGATGAAAACGCTGTTTTACATTGCCAGTAGCAGACAGTGCTGTATACCTGTGGTTGTTTTTGTGTGTGATACTGATAGAGGCCTGTAAACTGACACTTGGACAGTCCCTTCTTGACTTGCTAAATTTAACCAGGGAGGTGTGGGCAACAGATGGGGGGTTATAGTCTTACATGGTATACTTCACAACAGTGAGCCTTGGTGTGCTTATTCAGGAAACTGTACTGACAATGTATGTCAGCAGTAATGTATTTTATAAGAAATGATATTACTGTCAATATAAATGATTAATCAAATCACCCCATTTCCTATCTTTCAGATTTTTCTATTTTGTACATACATTGTTTTGTATATACTGTATATGATGACTTCAGTGGTCAGCAATCAAGCCCGAGCAACGAGGGACAGAGCGCTGCCCAACACCACACAAACAACACAGCCACAAAAACAGATACAGGTGAGGGCTTTATTTTAAACGTTTTTATAAATTATTTAAAATTTTACACCAGTGTGACGGCATTTGTTTTTCAAGCTGATGTGTGAGTGTGATAATGAAGCAAAAGATTTATGTTGAGCAGCCCAAAACCAGCTCAACACTAAAGGCACAGGCTGCTATCATTGGTTTATCAAAAGTAGTTTTGGATTTGAGAAAACAAACTTTACACCATAAGCAACACCTTTAATGCACAATGTGAAACATCTTTGACCAAATTATGTTTAAGTCTCATAGTTTTTTATTGAACTTTTTAAGGCAACAGCCGAACAGATTCGCCTGGCCCAGATGATCTCCGACAAAAATGATGCTGACTTTGAGGACAAGGTCAAACTGGTAATAAACACTTGCATTTGTCAATTTCAAACAAATGCTTATTCTAACAACATGCAGTCTTAAACTGCTTAGACACAGACAATGTTTCAATTGTACAATCATCTTTTGTAATTTCTTTGTTCTGATTCTTAGTTAATTGAGGTTACTGGGAAGACTCAAGATGAGGGCATGGTAGCCCTCCATGATTGCAATGGAGATGTAAACAGAGCCATTAACTTCCTACTGGAGAGCAAGTCTGATGTGGTAAGTCAATTCATGTGACTGTGTTCATTAGCTTTAGTAAATCATTTCTTTGTTTTTCCATGGGTTACAAAAGCAACCCATCTTACTAAAATGCAATTTTTCTGACCTCTGTTAGACCTCCTGGGAGACTGTGGGAAAGAAGCGCAACCTTGGGAAAGATGGAGGAACCTCAGAGATAAAGGAAAGTAGGGAGAAAAAGGCAGGCGAGAGGGAGGCCAGTCGTGGACGTGGAAATTCTAATAGGAGGGGCCGAGGCAATAGCCGAGGCCGTGAAGGTGTGAAAAAGACCAAGAATGTGCTGCTTTATACTGTAAAAAAAAAGAAGAGAATTATCTTGTTTGTTAGTCATCACTTGTTTAACAGTCTCTTCTGAAACTGTCTTCAATGTTTTTATAGCAGCAACACTTACTGTATGTTTTTTCCTGTATGATTACAGGTCGGATAGAAGAAAATGGGATGGATGTAGCTCCTGGAGAGAGGGGTGGGGACCGTGGACACAGAGGAAGGGGCAGAGGTGAGTTGTGTGCAGTAAGATGTCTTCTTCGTTGCACTTCTTTGTTGTCATCATACCAAAAGACTAACCCTTGGTATATACTGTTTGAATGGACATTTTCAAGTCCTTTCGTGTCTGAATCGTGTTTCTATTTAGCTTTAAAAAATTATCTTTGAATTAGTCCTATATACTGCAGTCCCTGCAGCTTAATGTGACAGATGAACCCAGGAACTGCTGAGCTTTAATCATAAATCAACTATTGTACTTACATTATCAGATATAAAAACAGTACGTTTTGAAGTTTTCTTGTTAATCAAGAATTTAAATATTTTTTACATCCTTTTTTTTATAAATGTAATACTTCAAAATTTTACAAAATAGGTCAATAGGAAAAAATAGTTTTTGAAAAGATTGCAAAACTCCAGGGAGTATCTTTATAAACAATTTGAGTTGTACATGAGATGTTATTACTAAAAACATTGATGTTGTAGTGATAACCAAGTTGTCAGTATGTTTTGCAAATCCCATAATTTGGTTTTGAAGCATTTTGTATGTTGCGCTAATGTATTTGATGCATTCTATTTTGACTGCAGTTTTATAGAGCAGTGATTTTCTGAACATGTCTAGAATATGCTTTGTTCATGTAGGTGTTTCACTGTGTGTAAAAATGTAAATACTCAACTGAGTGTATGAAGAAATGTTAAAAGAAGAAAAAATACGTTGATGTAGGATGTCAGTAGGAAATAAATAAGTCTATTTTCCAACATCGAATTAAGACAACTTGTTCCTCATTCATCTAAATACAATAGCAGTAAATATGGTAAACACAGGTTCAACAGGTCCTGTTCCCATTGAAATTTATTGACTAAAGTGTAACTTTACCAACGTAAACAGCATTGGCAGCTTAAGGTCACCAGAGGTCATTTGGTTGTTTTGTTTGCCTCCTCAGGGCTAAGTGGTCGTGGAAGAGGAAGAGCAGCTGCTGGCAACAGGTTTTCCTCCCAAGGAATGGGGTAAGAATGTCTGGTGGTAATTACACAACACTTAGAGGATAGGATTACAAAATTTTATCTCCAAAGGAAAGAAACCATGAAATGTTTTATTATTAAATTGGAAAATATTTGTTTAAAAATGCCTTGCTTCTTTTAATGTCTTCTTTCACCTATCTCTTCTTTAAGCACCTTCAACCCTGCCGACTACACGGCTAATTTTGGAGCGCAACAAGACACATGGGAGGGAGAAGGCAATGAGGCTGCTGAGGCACCTGGTAATAAATTTAATAAAAATATGTTGTATTTTAAGTGATCATTCTTTAAGGGGTTTACACCCACCAGTAAACATTCCATTCTGTCAATTGGTCAAATCAGTCTTAAACATATAAGCAAGAAATGAAATTGTATAGATTTTCAGTATACATCACTGTCTTTTTTTTTTTTTTTTTGTGTGTGGAGGCAATGTTGAAGAATGGACAGAAGACTGGATTGAGGATGTAGGTCCAAATTTATTTTAAAGATGTTTTTCTTATAGATACTTCTTATAAACAGATTTGAAACTTTATCTAATGATTTTTTTCTTTTCATGTTCTACAGTTGTCTGAGACCAAAGTTTTCACTGCCTCTTCTGCTTTAGGAAATCACAACACACCTGGACACAAGTATGATGTTTACACCTGAACTCATTTTTAATCACCAGATGAATACATTTTTGATTTTAAGACCAAAGGAAGCTTTAGTACAAATGTTTATTTTTGACCAACTAACCCTTTGTTGGTCTTTCAACCCTACATCATTTTCCTCCTGTTGTTTTGATCACTTTAAGTGTGGACCTGGCTGGCCTACTTCCAAAGGCTGGAGTGGCTGCTGGTTCTATGGACTCTGAATTGGGGGCGGTTGTTGACGGCCCCTCAGCAGAGAGTTTGGGCCAAAGTCTGGTGTTTACCAATTCCCATCATAATGGTCGACCTGCAATGCAGAGCTATGCACATGCCACAGCCAACAGTTACGCCCATGTCGCCTCTGCTAATACCACCTATGCACATGCTGCTCTGGTACAGACTCCACATATACACACTCACAATATTTTTCAGATCATGTTTATACACATGATGTACAAAAGAAGAAGTATTTAATGTAGTTCTGTTCATGGTGTTTTTTTTAGTCATCAGTCCTTGGTTCTGGATTTGGCTCTCTGAATGCTCTGAAGACAACACCTGCGTCAGACATGAGGACATCTGAACAGCTGAACGGGACTCGGCTTGGTCAGAGGGCAAATCAGACAATAGCCTACCCGAGTAGCAGCAGTAATGTTCCCAAAGATGTAGGACCAGCTCCAATGCAAAGTCCCGCTCCTCCCTCTTTCCCCCCTCTAGATCTCAAAGTTCAAAGAGCAGAAAATGTCTCAGTCATGACCCAACCATGTGAGTTCATCTTGAAGTGAAATGTACAGACACAGTATATTTAACTTGAATGTTTTTTACTATACATGTATTCGCCCTATCTCTACAGTGGAGATGAAGCAGCAGCCGGAACCATCACCTGTGCTCAGCCAGCTAACGCAGAGGCAACAACAACAACAACCCACCGTCCTTTTCACCCCAGATGTTCTGAGTATGTCTGGGTCACATACACCACAAGGTGGGAATTCATTCATTACACCAAATGGTTAAAGAGCCATTTTAGAGCCATTTTAAGTTACTCCCTTCTCCTTTAAATCCCCTCAGGTCATGAATCCTCTGCCCCTACAATACGAGATGGACCTTCTTCTGGAGCAAAGCTGCCAGGAATGGAACTGACCACTATGGAAGCCCCACAGCGGCAGCTAAAGGCACAGAGACGCAAAGTTCCCCTACTCTCAAAGGTTTGCTCCACTTATGGTGGTCCACTTAACCATTTATGGGGAAATAAACAGACGTCTGAAAAGACTTTTTCAACTTAGATCCCATTGACAGCGGTGGAGATGCCCGGCTCAACAGATATGTCTGGATTGAATGTTCAGTTTGGAGCTCTTGATTTTGGGTCTGAAGCTAGTAGTGGATCGGCAGAGGTGCCACACAGTGACCTGTCCAGGGAACAAGCAGCATCCACCCAGGCCCCAGCGCCGATCTCCATGTCTGTTCCAACTGCCGTATCCACACAGCAGCCACAGATCAGCCTCTTCTCAAAGCCAGTGTCTGTTAGGTTTGTGCCACTCAATGCTTGTCAGTTTTTGTGATAACATCCATTTAAGGCATAATTTCATAATTTGCTCTCTTGACGTTTTCTTGTCCCGTTTCTTGATCCCGTTGAACAGTGAGCATGTGAGCAGTTTGTCCAGTTTACCCTCGGACCACAGCTTCCCCTCACCATCTCTGGGTCTACCCAGTGCTACACACTCACCCTCGCTGGGTCTTCCCAGTAACGGAGCCCCTGTCTCCTCTGCAGCCCCTACCTTAGCAAGTCGTATGGATAACAACAGCCAGAGGTCCATCCCACCACATCTGGTCTTTTCACAGGGCAAAGATGTCACATCAGCCACTGGTGGAGCTCTAACAGTGAGAATGGCTCTTCTGCTGTTTGCTTGCATGTTCCAAAAGAGAGAATGAAGCTGACAATTGTGTGGTTCCTCCATTATTGCTGAGAAAATGTTTACCAATTAATACTGAATCATTATATTTTCCTCTTGTAGAATGGCTACAATGGGATGAAAGTAGCAAGTGCACAGGACCGTAAGTACATTTAGATATTTAAAAAAAATACAACCATTGAGTAACTGATTAAGAGCATGGTCAAAATAAAAACCCTTGCTGGAATGATTTTCTTTACCGTTTCTTTTTAACTTGAAATAAAACTGTCAATTCTTTTTCTTTAATTAGTCATGCCACCATCCACAAGAACAGAGAAAAAAGACTGCCCTGTAATGGTGAGTGAAAGTGGCTCTGCTCATCACATCCCGGCCCCTGCAGCCACGCCTTCACACTCGACCCAAAATCCCTCACTCGGCAGGTAGGTTCTAAATCTACTCAAAATAGCATATTTATTATGAATTATATTTATTTGGCATGCTATTTGTTGTAGAGGGAGTAAGAGGTCACAACCCAATATATAAATGTAATTTGTTATAATGTATCTCTTCACACTCTGTCTTTAGTCATGTTACCAGTACTCAAACCATTGGATCAGCTCTCACAACAAGTTCCTCCATGACAGTAAGTAAAAAAATAATACATGCATGCTAAGGAAGGGTTATACAGTGGTAGAGGTCAGAGTGAAACCTTTAGAAAGGCTTTAACTCTTGACTTGCTGTGATTTCGTGGTGGTGGCACCACACAAGACTACCGCACACTTTTTAGCCTCTAGCCATTCACACAATAACATGCCATCTTTTAACAAACAGATAAACCATGAGGAGAGCAGTATCAGTAGTGGAAACCTCCATGCTTACCCATTATCATCCAGTCAAGCTGTCAATCCCAGTTCATCAGCTTCTCTGCCTGTGAGCAGTTCCACCACCAATGGTCTTCACCCTTCTGGAGCTCCAGGACTAATTCCAAATGGAACAAATTCCACACTTTCAGCTCCAGGCAGCCGTACAGCACCACTGCTCACCACCACCTCTGGTAGGTCAAATTAACATTAATAAAAATCTTTTTTATAAGGTTAATGTTGTGTTTTTTTTATTTTAAGTCTCACATATTTTCTGTCGTAGGTAAAGCTCCTCCGAATTTAGCTCAAGGCGTTCCACCTCTCCTTGCAAACCAGTACATCATGGGGCCTAATGGCTTGCTCCCAGCCTACACGGTAATAATGCTATTCTGTTTTTGTCCAATTGGTCTTTAAAGGGTCTAGTGTTGTATTGTCAAGTCTTAATCAACTGATTTACGAGTCATTATTTAATTGTCAATTAAACCAGGTGTTCCAACAACAACTAAACAAACAAAAATAAAAAAGTATTAGAAAATCCAGAGAGAAATGAAAGATCATTATATATCATTACCTATACAGTGGAACCTTGGTTTGTTCCTTAAGGCCGTTTGTGAACAAAAACTTTGAAAAATGAAACAACTTTCCTTATAGGCATCAATGTAAAATGGATTAATCCGTTCCTGGACCCTGGACGGTTGCTCATTTAAACTTTTTCACAAGTATTTTGTGAACAGGTTCATACACGAAACCAATGAAAATAAGTAGATGTAACAATAAAGATAAACACAACTGTATAAAGAATAAAGCTATAAATAGGAAAAGCAATTTCATTCATCGTTACCGGTGCTAAGGAGTCGTTTTTTGTCACTTTCTCCGGCCAACTGCTTTTCATTGATCCAAATCAGTAGCAACTTTTCCACTTCTTCTAATGCCTGAGATCTTTGCTTGGTGATCACAATCACTCATTTGGCAACCTTAGCTTCTTTTATTGCTTCCTTAATGATGGTACATATTGACGGCTTTTCTAAGCCATACCGTAAAGCCAGATCTGAAACACGAGCGCCATTCTCATGCTTTGGTATAATGTCTTTCTTCACTTCTGTAGTTATTCTCAGCATTTTTCTTTTCCATGGTAATTTATGAAATAGAAGAAATAGCACAAGGCAAGAAATATCGGCACAATCAGATAACAGGGCAATAGTTTGTTACAAATTTTGGCAGTGACTCAAATTGACAACCGAGGGTCCACTGTACTTGGGGACATTGTTTTGTTCTCTCTTGGAATTTTCTGTAGTATGTACTATGAGTCAAAAGGTGCTGTAATCATGACAGGAACTATTCTTTGTGAAGCATTTTTTTCTTTTGATCTATAGTTGGTTCCAACTGAATAGGAAATAATGCTGCAATTTAATCTTTTTCATAAATGTTTATATTTTAACAGCAGATCTATGGATATGAGGACTTGCAAATGCTGCAGTCCCGTCTTCCTATGGTGAGTCTCATTTGTTTTGTCATTGTAGCAAATTTGTTTGTTAATAATTTGGTTTTTATTCCCACTGGAATCATATTTTGCTTAATTTAGTATCTTATCAAATAAAGTAATACTTTATTTATGTCCTACCAAGGACTACTATGGTGTAACATTCCCTGGTACAACAGCTGCTATGCCTGGAAGAGATGGCTTAGCCAACAATCCGTACTCTGGTAAGTCAACCTTTCGTTCAGTTGTAATTGATGTCTACTAGTGACATCTAACTTTTAACTTATGACTTTATGTTAATCTAAACAACATTAAAGCCTTTTCTTCTACTGTCCAGGTGAAGCAACAAAGTTTGGTAGGAATGACTCATCATCTCCAGCTCCACCAACGAGCTTGCCTACAGTTGGGGTGCAGTCACAGCCACAGCAGACACCACAGGCGGGAACACAAAGTCAGGGCACAGGACAGAGCCAGGGTCAGCAGACTCAAAATCAGGCCTTCCTAAACCCCCCTCTACCACCTGGCTATGGATACACTGGTGAGAAATGACTTTTATAAGAATGATAAACAAAGGTTGACTTCTTATTCTTTGATGAATTATAGAATATGACAACATTAGTGCCAAACTTGAATCCCTTGGTCTTGAGTGTTTCTAACTGGTCATCCACAGGTCTGCCATACTATGCTGGTGTGCCAGGGGTGCCTTCAGCCTTCCAGTATGGCCCTACCGTGTTTGTTCCTCCTGCTTCTGCTAAACAACCTGCAATGGGTCTGGCCAACCCCTCCAACCAGTTCCACCAACAGCATCAGCCAAGTTATGGACAGCATGCTTACGGTACAGGTGAGCTGAGGATTATCCTGAAGGGCAGTTCAGGTCACTGCTCTGATTTTTGTTTTCAAGTAACTAGCAGCTAGGTTAAAAAATTATTTGAAGTTTTTTATTTCTAATAACAAATCCAAAATCCAGAAAAAAGTTTAAATTTTTTTTAAAGGTGTAAGAACAAAATAATTTCTGCAAGATTGGAATTCAAAAAGCTAAAGAAAAGTCTAGAAAACAGAGGGTGGTAGAAAAAAACTAAATAGGAAATTTAAATCTCAGACTGGATCCCATTTGTTTTGGTTCTTAGTCTCCCTACTAATAAGGACATGGTCACATTTCTTTCTCGTTTTAATGTGTAAATGTTGAGAGCTGAGGAGTAGAATTTTTTTAATACTTATTCTTGTCGTTTAACAGTGTGCTATTTTTTTATTCTATTTTTCTCATAACATGCCAGACATTCTCAATCGAATACAGATGTGATCTTAGAACAAATTCAGACTGGCATTTTGTCCGAATCTCTAATGTAACACCAACAACTTAAACATTCTCATTTGTTTATGTTTATGAAATAGGTGATTTTTTAGCCTAAATGTCTGTCTGATTTTTTTTTTTTTTTATTGTGAACTGTGTGAGACTTGGTGGTAATACGTGAACCTCATTAGAACTGAGGTATGTAACGAGAGGAAATTGGGAAAAATCCAACTATTTATACATTTACATGCATGTACTGTATGTGGAGTGGGGCCTGTGTGTTACTTTTTCAGCTTGTGCTGCATGCGTAGCTCAAACCCCCTGCTGAAGATGGGCACAACTCAATATAGCAGCTTCCATTGTAGTCAGGTTACCTTACTGCCTCTCTCTCCTATGCTCCTTTCTCTACACCTCACCTATTCCCCATCGATTTCTCACTACCCCTCCCTCTCTGCTGGTTCTGCTTCTTTTTTCTTCTTCTCTGCTGTTCCTCCTCCACCTCCTTCAGCCTTTGATGACCTGTCTCAAGCCCACGCTGGGGAGTACAGTAAGGGAGGGTACGGAGGCTCTGCCCAGTCACAGGCCAAGTCAGCGGGCAGCGGCCCAGGGAAAGGTACATACACAACACATGTGCACAATGTGATACCACACACAGTCAACGGGCGTTTCCTTTGCTGTGGGAAAATTGATTTACTCACAATTGCAGATGATTCTACTGTCAAGAGTGTTCTGGACATAGGTGTGTATTTGCATGTGTGTGACTGCACCCCAATGTGCACATTAATACAAACTGCCAGACGGTGAAAAGTGAGAAACATGCCCTGGTGCCTCCTCACTTAAAATGCTTCTCCATTCTGGCTGGTCCCCTTAAACTAACAGTGAAAATAAGCATCCATTCTCTGAAATGATCAAATCACAAAACAGAGAGCAATGTGTTTTCTTTCTGTTGAATTTTACATTCTTTATTGTTTTTTCTCTCTCTCTCTCTCTCTCTCTCTCCATCTCTTTTATTTCAACCTGTCTTTACCTCCTCTCCTCCACCTCATTCTTCTCTTAGCTCCAGGACTTTCTGCGTCAGGTACCAGTGGAGGAGTGGCTGAGATGGGAGTTTCAATCTACAGTAAAACACAGGTGATCTTTTTATTAAATGACGGCCGTTAGATTAAATGATTTAATTTAAGAGCATCAATAGTTGCAATGTTTACTGCCGTGAACTTTAGTACAGTCCTGTATAACTGTTCTTTTGATTTTAAAACCTACTTCACACCATGTTCCCACTCTCCTGTGTTCTCCTGGCTTTGTTTTTTGCAGTCATTCGACAAACAGGGCTTTCACACTGGAACACCTCCTCCTTTTAGCCTACCTTCTGCACTCGGAGGAACAGGTCCCCTGAATCCTGGGGGAGCTCCAGGCTATGCCCACGGTCCCTTCCTGCACATCCTGCCTCCACACCAACAGCCCCACTCTCAGCTGCTGCACCATCACCTGACACAGGATGGACAGGTAAGCTGTGGTCGGTTCCTTGTATAAAATCTGTGCCTCATTTAGGGTTTTCTTTAATGACCAGCTTCACCATGTTTTGCTCAGAAAACCAGTGAGCCAGTCCCGACCAGATTTGATTACATTTACAGCAGAGGACAGACATTTATTTTATTTTTTTTCAAGCTTCTGTTGTATTTGTAAAGTTGTCACGCATACACCCATTAACCCTGTTGGACTAATGAGAGTCACTTTTTGTGCAGGGGGGCCCTGGACAACGTAGTCAATCCAGCAGCATGCAGCAGAAACCACAAGGCAGCAAGTCCAGTTACGGCAGCTCCCCCTACTGGGCCAATTGAGGAATGTTGCGGCTGCGTGTACGTGTGCGTGATTGTTCGTTTGTGTAGGGCTAAAACAGAAAGACAAATTGAAAAAAACACACTACCCTCATAGTGAAACGTTAGGCCTGAGCGCCTGCTCCCTACCCCACCTCCACAAGTCCTCATAAGTCTTTTGGGTTCTCTCTTTACCCCCTTTTCAAAATTGGATGTACATGTAAGATATTTATGTATGTATTTATAAATATATATATACTGTATATGTAATAGTAGAACACAAAATGTGGCATTTTATTTTTGAAGGACTTTTGTTTACTTTTTCAAAACTGCAGGAAAAGATGTTACATCATGTTCCAAGTGAGTGAAGATAATCAGAAACCTTGTGGAATATACCAGTTCTAGGAATAAAGGAAAGAGCTATAGCACTGATTGCATATGAGGACGCATAAAATGGGGGTGGGGTTTATAATGACTAACTGCATCTGTGTTTTTTTATATATATCATAACATTTTGAATGTCCAGCTTATTTCCAAAAAAAGTTCATTTTGCGGCTTCCCATTCTTTCCCTCTTTGTTGAGAGCTGCCTTCTGTTGACACTTTTCCCATTGAACCCAGACATTTTCATCTAAATTTTATATTTAAATTCAATTTTAACCCTGATTTGCATTGAAAATAAACATTCTGAGAAGTTGGAGTTATGACTTGTTTTTTTTTTTTTTTTTTTTTTTTTTTTTTTTTTTACAATTTGACATGACATGTAATCTAAGCAAGGTTTTACAACAAACCATAAACTGAGGGACAAACACTGTATTACAGAGACTCAAAAAAACAAACAATCAAAGTTATTGATTTCTTGGTACATGTGCTAAAACCTCTCATCCAAATCTGGGATTATATTTTTAATATAATTACCAATGCAGTTATTGAAAGTCCTTCATAAAAACTAAAACTACTAGGAATACTTTCTATTAGTCAAGTGTGTAGAAAAAGGAGATGTAGGTTCTTGTAACACACTCCAAAAAGGTTTGGGCTGAGATAAAATAAGACGGATGGATTCCTAAGATCTGGTATCAATCAAGCAAAACAGCTTCCACCTGCTGATCACTCTTAGGTACTTCTCAAGACACTAAAACTGCATAATTTAACTCTGTCAAACCATTAACCTGGAAAATTGTTTTTGTGTCTTATAAGCACTTCTTGATGAAAGGTTCCAGAAATCTAAAGTCATTAATGTACAAAAATGTCAAGTATTTTGCATGGACAGGATTCCTTGAAGCCAAGTCTCATCTGGGGGAGCTTTCAGTCTTGGACTCATAAAATGAGTTTGTGATGAGCTCCCTCCACCATCTGCTCTTGGGGCTGAGCTGAAACCATTGCTTATCTTTTATGTACTGATGCTCAAACATTGCAATCTTCTCAACTACTGCCTACAAACTATATCTAGGGGTTCCGTGCGGTGGGAATTGCGTGTGCGATGCCCAGAAAAGTCTGGGCATTAAGAATCACACCAAGGCAGCAGTGAGAGCGTGAATGTTTAATGAGGTTGAGGAGCTGGAAGATGTGCTCACTCCAGGCTGGGATGTTTGTTGTTTGATTCAGAGGTTAATTACATTTCTGTTGTTTGATTTTAAATGTAGGTTATCAAAGTGTCTTCATTATGTTTGGTATAACATAAATGGTTTATACTTTTATTTTTTGTTTAATAGCTGTGTTTTACCAGAAAGTGAATAAAAATAAATTGACCAGATTTGTAAGGATTTTTTCTTTCCCAGAAGTGTTCTCTGTAACTGGGCTAAGCCAATTGACCATATGTTGTAGGTACTTGAGTGAAACCCAGATAGCCCCGTGACTGGTTCCTTCTTTTCTATGAAATCCCATCTCTGTTGTGTTTGTAGCTAAAACCACAAAGTCAGTTGAATTAATTATTTAATTCAGTTCATTAAATTATATTTAGAAAGAAAATAATTTTGACACAAATTCATTAATATTTGAACTTATATTTGAAATTCACTTAATGTTCTAAGGTGTAAGTTTATATACTGCCACTAGATAGCAGTATATAGTTATACCAACCATATTGTCACTCAAACTCGGAATAAATGACATACTGAGGTCATACTGGTGTCACAGACATTACTGTATGTAATGGGGCTCAGAAATACCCAGCGTTCAGTATAAATAAAATGTATGTATATATACACACATACATCTTATTTATTTTAATGAATTTTGAGTGGTTCCACTATATATCCCTGGTATGTGGCTTACAACGGATGGGAGGGGGAGAGAGTGAGTGGTGGGATGGTTGGTCGGTAGGGTGGGTGGAAAGTTGGTGAGTAGCAGGTGCTATTGTGGCCTATGCGCAACAGCTTTCAGCAACAAGGTGAGCAGTCAAAGTGAAGTTGAAAGGTCAACCTTAACTCCCAGGAAGCTCACCCAGTATGAGGTACAGATAAGAAAGAGAGTGATGGGACTGTGAACAGAACATAGGTACATAGGTTCCAGACCACTGGAACTTGAAGAAAATTAAGCTTGTAATTTTAAGTTGTAAGAAAGACTGAAAAAATCCATACAGGGGAGGTTGACTTGGTGTATAGCAAGATTGTTTATAAAATGAACATTTGCCGTTGGCTATGTGGTTTTGACCAAGGATAAGATGTAGGGCAATACATGAGAGGGTTTCCTGTTTAAAAACTCATTTTCTTTGTACAAAATGACAATTAAGCCCTTAAGCACTGAGATGAAAATATGTTGTAGAATGTTAATGTAGATCATAGGTGTCAAACTCAAGGGTGGCTAAAATGTGAAAATGAGTTTGACACCTCTGATGTAGATGAACAGAGTAGCTCCTGTTGATGATAGAGATCTTATTCAAGGAAGGACAATGTCTATCACAATCACACACACACACACCAAAACAAGTTTAAACAGTATTGTCACCCACCATGTCAAATACAGCAGTTGGATTTACAAAACAGCTGAGTGATTAGAACAACCTGCTGAAGAACATTACTGTCTTTGAACCTGGGAAAATCACATGGGAGGGTTTACTGTAAGTGTTTTTATTTTGAACAAACAAATTAACCGTGTCCTAGATTAACACAGCCTGTTGGCTACTGTTTTCTACAGGGACTCAACATTCTATCCCTCCACACTGTGTCTTATCGTGGATGTTGTGCGCCGTTTAGTGCTTGGCTATATGGTTGTATCCTGTAAGTCCATTGGTGAGCTCTGGGAATGTCTGAATGTCCTAGTGTTTGTTGACAGTCGTGACTGCTCCACTCTCACATCTTGACAAAGACGTTTTGTTGGGGTTCACTCAGTTCATTCCCTGAGAACGTGGAGAGCCGTGAGATTGCCACGCAGGATATCGCGACAGTTTAGTCCTGCATGGAAATTAGGGGGCCCTGCTTCTCCAAGCGCCCCCGTGACCTGGGTTCTTGATTTGTATACTCAAATCAGTTTTAGTTGCGTTTCATCTCTTCTTCTCTTTTTCTGTGAAATTACAAGCCTTTCCATCCGAATGAATGGGGAATAATCTGGCTGTTTGTGTCTTCCTTTCATCTCCATCTCGGGGACCATGAGATGTCCTTGCCCCCTCTGCTTGTTGTGAGAAGTGACAGCAGGGTCCATTCAGCGGGAAATTGGCTGCAATTAGTGCAATTATGCTGATTTTCACTTGTGTCCAATGCCCAACAGAGTTTTCGTGGAGCACAGAGACGACCCCCAGGAAACTGCTGCAAAACAAAAACCCATCAATCAACAAAGGCTTTCAATGAAAGCCTCCACGGCAGAGAATACTGGGTACATTCCATGATGACAAGCGTTCAGTCAGCTGTGACCTGTGTTACGATGGGGGGCATGACATGTAGAACTCCACTGATGTAGGGGGAACATGCTGTAAAGCCGGTATGAAGGGCAGATGGGCTAATTGGCAGTAGTGTGTACATAACCTATTCATACAGTGAAGTTATCACCATGCTGTTTATAAAATAACAGTGGTAAACACATCTGCATTCAGCACATACCCAGGGATTGAATGGGGGATGGAGGGGCACACGCTCATTCAAATTTAGAATGTTAGACATATTTAAAAAACTTTGTACACATGTAACCACAAATCACCACAGAATCAAATGACTGCTCATTTGTTTTTATGGGAGTCAAGATGAAGTCACTGCTTGTTTTTGAATGCATCCTTTTTTTTTATAAATGCCTGTGGCTCCTTCTTATTGGACGATGACTTAAGGGAAGGCCATAGTTTACCCAACTTTACATTGGTATGTCTGTGTCAATATTGCCCAGGAGACTGACAAGGCCTGCATTCAACACATTTCAAGCTGTAGGAATGGGGGAGCTCCATCAAAACCTTAATGCATCCACTTGTTAACTGCTACATGAACAGTCTGGGGAGGGGGAAACATCACTGTGTGTCATCGCTGTGTAGCAACCTAAAAATGTGGGTGTATAAATGCACAGTTGTTTGTCAGTTGAAAAAACACCTGTGTCCTTGTGAGTCACTAAATAAAATAAGCGATACACATTAAAATATATATTCACTGCACAAAATACATTTGCCTAAAAGAATTGCAAATGTCCCTTTGACGTGTTTTGTTTTTCCTTTCTAAGATGATTCCGTGTAGAATAATACTCATTCAGTATTGTGTTAATATAATGTTTGGTGAGAAGAGTTATGAAAAACAAACAAACATCTGTGACACCATGGGTTTATGACTCCAGGTTAAATAAGGTATGTGCCACAGACTTCTCAGCATACATACTGTATGTTTTTAATTATTTACTCAGAAATTATTGAGGAATTACTCATTACAAAATTACATATGCCCTTTGTAGTTATGTGAACGTGTACTAAGAAAATTTGAACAAACTTCCCAAGATCCTAACAGGCTAATTGATTTAATTTCTTTCAGTAGTGAAAATTAGTTTAATTTAATTTTCCTTTTTTAAAAAAATACCTCTTCATAATTTCAATATATGAAATTGGAAACCTTCCACTGAAATATCTAAGTTCCCACGATAAACCCACACCACAGACGTTGCAATCAAGCCCACTTTAGGTTTTAGTCCCTTCTTGTCAGCTAGTGCTGATTATGTGTTTGCTAATTGTGTATAAAATATCAGATGCAGCAAGTCTAGCAAATACCTCGTGTTGCGATTTAACCCTTAAGTCCTTCGGTTCTAGGTGACCCTAGACCACCCTTGGAAGGGTTAAAAATGAGCAACAACTTCAGGTTTTTATTCATTAGCTTAGTTTTTTTCTTTTCTTTTTTTTCTTTTGGGCTGTTGGGGGTGTGGGGGGTGTTATTTTCGGCAGTTGCGTTGCATTAAAAACGGGTTTTCTGGTACCGGGTGCCAAGCTGTGAGACAAGTGCAGGTAAATATATGGTGAGCCAACGTGGTGGTAACGTAAATATTAGAGGTTACTTCTGGAAAATTAAGACATGGCAAAAAAAAAAAAAAAGAAATCAAATATAATTTAATTACTAACTTCACTGACAATTGGCCTTAGGTTAAAATAGCATTTGGAGGAACAATCTCTCCTCTTCCTCCTCTCCATACGGTCAGCAGCGGATGAGTGGAGTGGCTTTAAGACCCAGCGGAGTTCGGCAAGGAAACCCCGCGGCGTTGGATGTTTCTACTCCGGAGTATCACAGCTAGTTATTTGTCGAGAGGCGC